AACTTTCTCTTATGTGACACGATGAATCTCAAGTGTTGACTCATACCTGAAATTTTAAGATTGCAAATGTGAAAATTTTGCACATTTTATATGTCAACATTTAATATCATCAAATTGGAGCTTTCGAATATTTAGATCTATATAATAGCAAAAAGGAAAATAAAGGGTTTCAACAGTTTTCAAGGGTTGAAGTCGACAATTAAATTGTCTATCCTGACAGTGAGTAAATGTCGAGTTCGACAGTTCAAATGTCTAACCTGACGGTTTCGACGACAGTACTCTACAGTTGAATTGCCATAAATTTCAGGGAAGCTTGAAAACCATGTATTTACTTCTTTGGAAGAAATTATTGAAAATATTAATGGTGATAATTAATTTTCAACTACAACATCACAATATCTTCCCACAAATAAATAAGGAATGACTCAATACTTCATTAAATATGAAATCTTTCACATTTTTCTAGAATATGTTGGTATTTTTTCTCTTTGAAAAATATATCAAAAATAAAACACATTAATGAATAAGAGATTCAAAAAGTTCAATTACATATAACAATGTTGTATTAAACGTCTAAAGTAGTAAACTATGAGATGAAAATATAAACAATTTCTAGTAGCTCACCTTTGAGATTGATCAATAGTTTTCCCTTGTTGATGATGGAATGAAGATAAAGAAGAAGAAGATAGGGTTTGTGTTCATACATGTTTGTGTGTTTTTTTTAAATTTTCACCCATTTTTTTAACAAAAATTCATATTAACAATATAATAATCATATCTTAAATGTTTAAACTATATAAAATAAATCATCACATCACACCATTAATTGTATTCAAATCAAGCATTTATTGCTCCTAAAAATGTATCATAAAGGGTAAAGTGGACATTTTGCATAAAAAGTGACATTTTTGGAAGAAATTGGTGCAAATGAAATTTTTTTATGCATTTTCAATTTTAGTGACATTTATGTAAATTCCCCTTTATTTATTAACCGAAGATTTTATCACTGTCTTAATTATTTATAAGTTCAAAGATAAATTCTTGTGACTCAGTATAAAAATTAATAAAATTAAAAAATAAAAATTAATTCTAAATATTTGAAATCTCAAAATTTTAATTTCTGAGTAGTTACACACTTAAAATACCGTACTGATCAGTTAACATCAAAAGTCTAATATTAATGTAAATTTTTTTAATAAATTTTCTTTAAGTTGTAATATTCTGAAAGATAATTAAACAATCTTTTTTGTTTCTGAAACTAAAAGTACTTTTTTTTCCTAAGAAAAACTTTCAAAAATAATATCACAACAAACAAATATTCTGAAGTCTTACTACTCTCCAATGAAACTTTCTTGCGCGGGAATTTTCAAGGAAAATTATTTATAAATTTAAATAAATAATGTCATAACATATCTTAAACTCTATCATGAATATTTTGGCTAGATTTTGCTATATGTACACCGACTTTGTATGCGGGCCTCTTATCGTGTGAGAGGGCTGTATCAAGCTTGGTATACAAACATCAAATTCCATTTTTGGTTTCATTTCTCAAATGATCATTAAGAATATAAATTTTCTCAAATTATAATCAGTTATGATTTGATTTACAAAAAGAAGCAATATTTAATTATTTATTTACAAAAAGTACTAATGATTTTTAAACAAAATACAAACATAACAAATAATAATAGGATTTAATTACGTCACTGAGACCTAAAGTTTGCAAAAGATATTTGGGAATATTGACATAAATTAATTAGGGCCTAGGTTCCATTTTTCATGGAAAAATTCCATTTTCCACTCAAATTGTATGTTTGATGGCAAAATTTTCCATGAAATTGATTTTCCACCCAACCCTCCACGTGTTTCTCCAGGTGTTTTCCTTTCGTTTTGGTGGGAACTAGTTTTTCAGCTTTTTTTAAATATTTTTTTGACAATTGGAACAAATTCTATTCGTTTAATTGACAATTTTCATAAAAAACAAAGTCAAAAGATAGAAAATTTCAACATTTTTCAGATAAAAAATTATATCAATCAAACACATTTAATTGACAATAAATAAGAAAATAAATTCTCGACAATTCAATTTCCTTGAATTTATTTTCTTGCCACCAAAATTTCATTCTTGCAATCAAACAGACCCACTAGTGTAATGGGCTTGAATTGAAAAATGAGTGTAATCGTTACATTTTACAAGATTACAAAATATGTCTTCCATTTTTAATGAATTATAGATCAAAAATATTAATCTTGTGACAAGAATATTAAATTAATATTTACGATACTTCTTAATTTTGAAGTGTGATATTATTGTCACCATATTAATAATAAAACCTTGAGGAAAGTTTCAATTAAACAAAATTCTATCGTAAAAAGAAATTAAAAACATTGATCACCGTCCTCATCAAGAACACTATGAATTGGATTGGAGGAAAATGTTTTCATCCAAAATAATTCTTTATGGTTTAACTTATTTTTCAATTTAATTTCAATTTAATTACAAAATTGTAATGACTTTTTGTATATTCACGAGAAAAATCATGTTTTTAATACCATTAAAACTTGTGGTTCTTTCATGTAAACCATAACTCATATTGTATGTACCGCAAGTCTTTATGTCCAGTAAATTTGTTTCATTAGGTATACATTTAAAAATGTAAATAAAAGGATTTTTTATTTAGTTAGTTACATCATTTGTAATTTAGAGACGTAATTGCTGAGAATGTAATGTTACACTATGTAAGATCAATTGTAGACTTATTTGTAATTATAGTTACGTAATTATTATTATTATTATTATTATTATTATTATTATTATTATTATTATTATTATTATGACGAAGGAACCCGCAGTCGCTACCCTTTGGGTGCACACTGAGTAAATTCTCGGGTTGACGCAATAGTCTGTAAATCACGCTAACCAGATAAACCGCACTAGAGAAGCTTGATGCGACAAGTTCAACCAAAAAAGTTACACAGAATTTAACATTACAGTTAAAGAAATGTGCTCGACAAATAATTAAAATGAATATAAAATTACTATTATTATAAAATTGACAGATAATTATATTGATGGTATATTTAATTTGAGCTACATTTATTATATTCGCTTTTAATGAACCCATGATTTACATACCATTGTTAGAGTGGTTTACATTCTATAATTTTAATTAACTTACATGAATGAAACAAGTCATAATTGCTTTTAGTCAAAGTGATTCGAAAACATAATTGAAAATACGATGAATAAATATGTTCTTGTTTTGACATATTAGATTTGATAGCACATTTTCCATAACATGTTTTACTTCATATGCAATTTTTTTTTTTTTTAAAGAATGTTTTAATTTATGGGTTTTTCTAAGTGTACAATCCACGTAGGAATGTACACTTACAGCCCCCTCACATGAGGGGGTCGGGGGGTTTGGTGTACAAAGTGTTGTACACCAATCATTGCTCTTAACTTATTGTTACAGGTCAAGGTAAAAAATTGAAAAATATAAAGTTGAAAAGACTTCTTTAAAGAATAAATGTCTTCTAATTTAGTCTTACTTAAGTTATATTCATCTCAATGTCTTCCTCATATTATCCTCCTCCACGGTCAAAAGGTATGACATTCTAAATCACATAATAATAATAATAATAATAATAATAATAATAATAATAATAATAATAATAATAATAATAATAATAGAATAGTGAATATTTTTAAAATAATAGAACAGTTCCATTGAACACCCAAACCTAATTCCGTTTGGGGTGAATTGTACAAAACGTTCATATCTTTCAATGTTATTATGCAAAACATCTATAACTTTTGTTTTTAACATTTTTACCCTTATTTTCATCTTTCAAAAGAAGATTTTACCCTCCTGTTCAAATTAAAAAAAAAATGAAATGAAAGGATGAAGAACTAATTGCAACAATAGTCCCATATTTTCAAAAAATTACAAATTAATCACAAATATATAATTAAAATCAAAACTAAAAAAATAAAAAGCATCTATCTTCTTCCTCTTGGCTTCTGTTGTGATTGGGAAAACTGGTACAAATAAATAATTATATAATAGCAATTATAGCACTAAATTCGGACATAACTCTTCTTCTTCCTCCTGAAAGCTCTCTCTCTCTAAATTGTTACTTTCTTTCTCTTCAAATCTTTGCCCTTTTGAGTGAATGATCGTTCTTGATTTGTTTTCATCAAATCCAAGCTTTATCGACAGTGGAGACTATGAACAATGTTTGTTTTTTTAGTTTTGATTTTTAATTATATATTTATGATTAATTTGAAATTTTTTAAAAATTTGGGACTATTGTTGCAATTAGTTCTTATCTTTTCATTTTATTTCTTTTTGTTTTATTTAAATAGGAGGGTAAAATCATATTTTTATTGAAAAACGGATAAAAATGACTTTTTGCGCAGTAAAAGGTGAAACTAGAGGTAAAAATATCAAAAAATGAAAGAAATGAACATTTTGCACAACAACATTTAAAGTTAGGAACGTTTTGTGCTATTTACTCATTCCATTTGTATTAATAATTAACTACATAGCAAACATCCTAATTGTAATTTAGTTCCTATTTGTCATCCATTCTCTTCCATTCTTTTTTCTACAGTATTCAATTTCAACAACACATTTTTCATTAAAATAATATTATACGTAAATTAAAAACTTTTCCTTCTTTTTTAACTATACATTTCAATATCAATCACTCTTCCATAATACATTCTTTGCAAATAATGGGTGACAAACACACCCTTATTATATATTCATTTGTAAATACACTACGTTACTACAATTCTATATACTAAATTATTATATTGCACAGTTCCATATTTTTTGGAGTCCTAAATATATTATCAATATAAAATTCCTATTGTACTAGAATATGTTACTAGTTTCCTAATGCCACGTGACATCTTCTATATGTACGCCTATATATTCATTGGCTCATCCATAATAAATCAATCTCTTAATCTCAACAACAGGAATGTAAAACCAGGTAGAACACTATACTGGTGACGTCGAAATGTGACTTGGCTATATATATGTGTATACACACCCACACACACATCTCTCTCAATTAATGACTCTACTCGCCAACTACCCTTAATTCTTCTACTCTGAAATTTTGAGAACATCGATATGGCTCCATTCCAAGAATCCAATCTCAGAAAGGTAATTTTATTTCATCTGTTCTTGATTTTTTTGACTTCAGTATTCATTTCTGCCTACACTGAAATCCAACCACATAGTGATGAGCTTTTTGGTACAAGAAAAATGATGAAATATGAAGATGATCCACCAATCATCAAGAAGAAAACTACTACTATTAAGCCTCCTCCATATTCAGACAAGAACAAAACTCGGTTCAAGAATAAAGTCCATTTGGAAAAGAAGCTAAGCGGGTCTAAATCCAAGAATCGAGATAAAAACCAGCAGAGTTGGATTGATCAAGACGAAGTTTATGATTTGGTTGATGGGATTAAAGACCTGCCCACTAAGTTTCAACAAACCCTAGTGCCAGATTTGGAGAAAATTTCCAAAACTTCAAAAGTTTACCTCAACAAGTATAATAAAGCATTCACCAAAGGATTCAAACCTTATGTAGGCAACAAATATGCACCCACAATTGCCTCTACAGTCTCTTTTGGCTTTATTTTGATTATACTTATTCTTGTTTTACTTATTTTTAATCATATCAGAGCCCACTTTTCACTCCAAAAGCTTTTAATTTTCATCCAAATTTATCTTTCTATATATTTCTACACATTATGTTTAGCCTCATTATTCACTGGAGTTGAGCCACTGAGGGTCTTCTATGCTACTTCACAGTCCACCTTCGTGTGTGTACAAGTTCTGCAAACTCTTGCTTATGTTTTGTACCTCGTGCTGCTGATGATGTACTTGATCCTGGTGTTCTCCACTGTAGCTGGGCTGGTCACCAAGTTATTGGGCCTAGCCCAGACCCTTTTGGGCTTTTTTATTGGGCTGCATTACTACATGACAGTGTTCCATAGGGCTGTGCTGCACCAGCCGCCCAAAACCAGTTGGAGGGCCTTTGCCCTTTATGCCACGTGTTTCCTTGTGATTTGTCTATTTCGTAGGACTGATGGGAGGAAGAAGATATACCTAGAAGAAGGTGGTGAGGAAGGTAAACGGAACTAGTGTTTTTCAATTTCTTTTCTTTTGAGGATGTATATGTGTTTCAACTCGAGTCTCAAGATACTTTTTGACGGAAATTGTTAGTAAAACAAAAAGTGTTACAATGATTAAATGTTAGACAAAATCTTATAAATTTTGCTTTGTAATTTATTAGAGTAGAGTCAGTTTGGATACATTGTTCTTTTATATACAGTTATTACTGATATATGTACAATTTGCCATAGTCCAACATGGTCTAAGAGTCCATGTAGGTGTCAAACCTTTTTGCAATATAAGTTCATAAAGAATATCACTAATCTTATCTTAAAGTATGTGAAGAGCTCTAATAACTTGTAGCTCTCTTTTTATACATGTTCTTATCGTAATTGTCTAAGAATAACATCCATCGAAAGAGTGACAATGATTAACAGATATTGTGGAGATGGTCTATTTTGATAAGTTTTGTTTTGAGAATTGGACAATCTAAGCTTCTGTCAGAAATCCCTCCCAAGAAAGCAAATCTCCATTTTTAAGGACTTTAGGCCTTTACTCTCTCTCTCTCTCTCTCTCTCTCTCTCTCTCTCATAGTACAGAGAATTTGAAAATTAGATCGTTGTTATCTAATCTCAATGGACATTTGATTGAATAAAAATGTTGTTACCCAAAAAGAAAAAGCATGTTTTTACGTAATTTTTTGTTTGAATTACTAACAATTCAAGGAATTTTGACATTGGTAAATTGTACAAATTCATCAAAATTAGGCTAAGAAATTTTGAACTCCGCATTTTAGCGGTGAACTAAGGTTAAAATGGTCCAAATGTCATGTCGGTGAAAAAGTTGTCAAAATCAGACAATCAATATATTTGAATTATTCTTACTAAAGTGAGATTCATCTCATGATCTCTGATTCTCCGTCATATTATCTTCTTTCTTACTCATCTTGGAATTACATCATTGAAGAAAAAAAAAATGAATTAGTAAACGGCAAATTGAAAGTTGGGGAGAAGGTGAAGGAGGACGACGGGGGATGCAGGCTAAAGGTTAGGACACAATACGATAGGGGATGGCCGGACGGGGATAGAGAATAAGGCTATTCTTGAGATACTAACTATAATGAAATGATCCTAAACTAGACTGTCCGCGAATGAAATTAACCCTAGTGGAATTTGTTTGCTTATATCATTACATGGATCAAATTGCTAATTAATTTTACTTTATAAAGCTAAAGCTAGTTCACACTTTGATACTGTTTTCTTTAACACGTGGACCATCTTCACTATTGACGAAAGTTGGAGATCGCATGACGATATATTTTAGCATTGATGTTGATCGTTGATAAAGTGATAAACTAATCCACGCCTTGAAATCAGGTTAGAGTACTCAACACTTCGGTATCAGTTTAGATTATTTCCACAAACATAACTCGACCTTTAGCCAATCCTTTCACAATCCCAACTTTTTGGAGAGGTTATGGGCCAGGCCATGCTGGCTTCTCGAACTTGGATTATTGGGGAATCGATCTTAATTTGATATCTCTATAATATTTTTATTAAAGTTCTACCTCGAAAAATTACTGTTATATTTTGAATTATCTAATACAGTTAAGTTCTTTCTTTAAATTGACTTGATCGTGACTGGGTAAAACAGCATAGAACAACACTATGATGAAATCTTGAAACCAATCGCGCCTTTAAAACCAGTACATTGATGTCCCAATTATACGAGTCTATTATATTATTAGTGGATTTATTTTTATTTAAAATCGTTAGAAATTTTTTTTTCTTTTTATGTAGAATGAGTCAAGGTAGTTATTTGTCATGCCCACATTCCTTGCTAATTAATTGGACATCAGGTTTAATGGATTAGTGGGATTGATTATGTAATGTTTTATCTCTATTTAAAGGGAAAAAGGAAATGAAAGGGGATGAAAAATTAATGGGGTACTTTTCAATTGAGCCACGTCAATATAACCATTTTTCATGAGTCAATTTTCTTTACCATTCACCACAATGACCTTTTAATGATTAAAAGATAAATATAAACTTATATATGTTATTCAATTACAAAAATACTAAAAAACAATAATACTCTTAAGTTAGAAAATAAAACCAAATACTTCCCATTTAAAATCTCAAAATCAAGTCACTTTTTATCTGTTAACTCCAACACAAATAAAAACTCTTTCATTTTTCATATGCTTTAACCTTAAAATCTTATTAATGTATCAATATTATTGATAGCCATCACTTCAAATCAGTAAGTATATTTACGTATATTTAATTTCATTTTCATTAAATTAATATATTATTTTAATCGTTAAATCTTATTTTGACAGAAATGGATAAATTTTTACATTTTTTAAACAGATTTAATCTAAGCAAAAAGGTGAAAAAAAATTCATTTCATCTACATTTTTTAAACAGATTTGATTTAAGCAAAAAAGGTGAAAAAAATAATCTATATGTATATTATTTCAGACATATTCATGGCTGTCTATTAAATAGCCAACTCAACCATCTGCGCCAAATGTAAACAACCAGCCCAGAGGACATTTTTCTTCATTATATAATTTTTTTTTTAAATCTATTTCATAATACAAATATGGGATCGACTGCAGTGCCAATGATTTACATAACAAACTCAATGTCAATTCCTCTTAGTACGATATAAAATCCTAATTTCTATTCAACAAGCATACATCCATTTCAATTCCATTTGTAAAAGTTGCCAAAATCCTAATTGTGTAACTTTAGTGAGAAAGAATGTCCCCGAAAGTAAATATGAAGATTCCGATTAAAAAGATCGTAATGTGAATGATTTTTGGGACACAACAGAGATAACTCATGAGGATGATATGGTTATTCTCGAGATATTTGTCCATCACCATGATCTCACTGTTACGCACAAAATTTCTTAGGTAGTAAAGACAACGAAAATGAAAATAAATTTACATTGAGGATTTAATTGCCTTATCCAGTCGGAGATATAAGTCGAGCGGGAGCTCACATGCTAGAACGAGTGTATGGTCCTCAAATTGTTCACATGTGGTTTCCGATGATGAAAATTTACATGTCGAGCAACTGTTTGAAACAAGGAAAGATTAACAGGAAGCTATATACCGGATTGCACTGAAACACAATTTTGTATTTAAATTGAAAAAATCAAACTAGTTGACAAATAAAAATTATCTACATTGACAACAATTATCGTTGACTTTTGTGAACGGCAAAGATGGACACAAATAAGTATTCATAGTTTGCAAGTATGCACGAGAACATACTTGCGAAGTAGATATTCATTGAAATGATCACAGGAAAGTCCAAGGATGTTTTATAGGTCAACTAATAATGCACAAGTTTTAAAAGCTATCTTCAGATCATAGACTTTAATTTCTTGCTTTGTCTCTCAGTACTTGGAGACATGGTATATCACTTTCTATGTTGTATAGAAGAAGCATGCTTTGGCCTGGCCTCAGTCTGCTGGTAACATTTCTAAATTGTGTGACCATGCAAATGTGCTTTTTCTTCAATTTCGTTGATGGCTATTATGCTTGTGAAACCAGTTATGTTTTCACTTCGAAGCATTCATGGCCAGCTCTAAGTCTGCTGTGAATCAAGATTTCTTTTTCCCTTCATTATCAGCAATCTATTTTTCATCATTTCCTTTGAATGCATAAGCCTAATTTTTTCCTGGATAATAAATTTGCTAGTGAGATATTAATTCATTTATTGTAAATTTATGCTGACTATCCCTTCCTTTTTAATAATCATTCTCAGAACCTCATCACTTTCTTAAAATGCTTATTTCTGAATAGTCCAAAAACACTCTGTGGATGGTGGTATAGGTTATACTTTAGGATGTGCTCCCTATAGTATAGTATATGGTTTCTCCTCCAACTATGATATCGGTTTTTGTTTCTGTGATAAAGGGTTCTCATTTTATCACTGTTTGCTATCATTCAAACTGTGATCCTCATGCTTGTGACAATTGAAAGAGTTCCATAATTTCATCATATTGTAGTGCGAATTATTTGACAACATGCATTAGGGTGAACTTACATAATTACTTAATTGCAGCCATTCTAGACTGATAAGTACCATCGTAACATCCATCACGAGTTGACATATTCTATAACCTCTATTTCGTGTTTAAGATGTGAAAATCCTCAAGTAATGTAGATCCTATGTCTCGTTTCTTTTCCTTATTTTATCTGGAATAAGAATGATGATTCCAGGACACGATTGTAGAGTTTTCTTAATGATTCTGAGATGTATGCAGTGAAACTAAGTGGATAGTCGAGAAATCATGTCATCAATCAAGAATCAATGTTTCGTTTTTCACTTTAATTTGTAGTCCATGCTTTTTCTCTATGTTGGGCTGTGATGCCATTTGATTCAGTCCAACTATTAGGCAATGATGAAAAGGCCCAAATATGGATTCAATACTTGGTCCATTAATTAGATACCTAGAAGGCCCACTTAACCGAGCCCAATACCCAGCCCACACATCTTAGTCGCTCTTGGACCGTTGGATTGACCCGCTGATCAACGGTTGATGATATTATCTATAAATAATATCCTTAGCTCCTGTTTGGCAGCTGGATCGTCATTCTGTTCTCTGATTTTTCTCTCTGCCTTCTGGAACCTTCGTGTTCTTAGTCTTTGTGACTCTTCCTTCTTCTCTATGTGAGAGTTCTGGTTGATTATCTTTGTGATAATTGTGTTCTTGTGTGATTCTCCTTCGTGTGAGTAATCTGTTGAAGGTAGGCAGTCCTTTCTGATTTCCAGTGAAGCGACCTTGATGTGTTGGGGTTGTGAGAGTTCGTGTTTGAGTCTTGGTGCCTCTGTGATGGTGAAAGGGGCGTGGTCTGAGCCTACAATTGAAAGATCTAAACCTTGATGTAGTGGTTTAGGATTTATATTGTAATCTGCATTTTCATGGTTAGGTTGAATGTTTTCGGATCCTGTTTTTAATAGTGGTATCAGAGCTTTCTGCGTTCGTTCTTGAGTCTTCGATTGAAGGTTGAACACTGAAAAATTAATTTCCAGGTGTTCGACTGTAAATCGCGAAACCCTAGTTTTTTTATTTGAGTCGACCTAGTGGTCTATGGAGTTGATTCGAACCTGAGTCCTCGCTGTGATCTATAAAAGAACCATAAAACCGAGATCCTGTGGGTTCGTTTTGTGCTGGAACCCTAATTTTTTGGAGCTACAAGGCCTCGAAACTGGAAGAACTTGAATCTGTAAGGGCACGATTTGTGCCTTGGTGACCTGCAGTGAATTCATCCTTGCTGCAATAATTTGTTCTTGATTTCAGCTGGTGGTTAATTGCTTAACCACCCTCGGCTTGCACTTCTTGAACCCTACATGACTGCACACTCACTAAACACTGCTTTTATGTATATATGCCTCTATGTTGATATGTTCAATTACTGTATATTGTAACCTGTTACATTAGTTTGTGATATCTTGTTATGTTTGCCTGTGATCAATTAAGTTTGGTTGATTCAAATTGAGCCTTGACCTGAGAACTTGATTCTCACGGAATCCTGGTGAATTTGATCAACCCTAGGTCCTGCAGATATTGATTCTTTAATCCTGAGATATAGTTCTTGCCTGCATTGTTGTATTTTTCTGGTTCTTGTGGTGTTTAAATTAGAATATATAATGATCCTGCTATTGATTGAAACTAGTTGTGAATAAAATAATTGTGGCTCATTTATTTGACTGCATATTACTTTATGTGATCTAAAACATAAATTTTGTTGCGAAGGTCAAATTCAATAGTTTTTTCAAAAGTTGATCTTCTGTTCTGTTATAATTTGTGAAAAATGCTGTGTATTAGTTTTTCACAATAAAACATGACAAAATCTTTTCAACTTGGTGTTTTTGATGGAAAATGGGATTTTCCCATTTGGCAACAAAAAATGCGAGGTGTTTTAGTTCAGCAAAAAGTTTCTAAAGTAATAACAGATGAATTTCCCGATACCATGACAGATGATCAAAAGGAAGAATCTGATGAACTTGCTTATACCTCCATTATTTTGCATTTATCTGATCAAGTTTTAAGAAAAGTGGGCAAACATGATACTGCTAAGGCCTTATGGGATGAATTAGAGAAGCTTTACCTACCTAAGTCTTTGCCTAATAAGTTGTTTCTATTAGAGAAATTTTTTAGTTTTAGGATAGATCCAACTAGAGACTTAAAAGACAGCCTAGACATTTTAATACAGGTGAGAAAGTTTCTGATGAGTATAAGGCTGTAGTACTACTTAATGTTATTCCTGATGCCTACAAAGAGGTTAAAGCCGCCATTAAGTATGGTAGAGATACTCTTACACCTGATATTGTCATAGACTCTTTAAGGAGTAAGGAACTTGAACTTAAGTCTTAGAGAGGTAATAGTGGCCATGAAAACTTGTTTGCTAGAGGGAGGACTTTAAGTAGGTCTAGTGGTACTCAGGAAAGCCATAATAATCAGGGAAATAACAGTAGGAGAAAGTTTAAAAGTAGAGGCAGGTCTAAGTCAAGGACTAGGACTAAAAAGTGTTATGGGTGTGGGAAATCTGGACATTTTATTAAAGACTGTTATAAGAAGAAAAATGAATAGAAACAAAAGGGTGTTGATGAAGGTAATGTGGTAGAATCTGAAGGTTCTGCCACAGTTGATGTATATGCTGTGACTGAAAATTTACCTAGCTTTGCAAATGTTGTTGATGAGAATCAGAACCAAGAATGGATCTTGGATTCTGGTTGTACCTTCCATATGACCTTTAAAAGGGCATATTTAGACAATTTTAAGAAAATTGATAGAGGAGAAGTAGTTATGGGCAATAATGTAGCCTGCAGAGTTGAGAGAATTGGGAATGTTACTTTGAAATTTGATAATGGATACATTTACACTCTTGAAAGGGTGAGATATGTTCCTGAATTGAATAGGAATCTGATTTCCATGGGAAATCTAGATGATATGGGATTGCAATGAAAAATAGGAGATGGCTTCTTGAAAGTGATAAAAGGATCAATACCCAGCCCACACATCTTAGAAGGCCCACTTAACCGAGCCCAATACCCAGCCCACACATCTTAGTCGCTCTTGGACCGTTGGATTGACCCGCTGATCAACGGTTGATGATATTATCTATAAATAATATCCTTAGCTCCCGTTTGGCAGCTGGATCGTCATTCTGTTCTCTGATTTTTCTCTCTGCCTTCTGGAACCTTCGTGTTCTTAGTCTTTGTGACTCTTCCTTCTTCTCTGTGTGAGAGTTCTGGTTGATTATCTTTGTGATAATTGTGTTCTTGTGTGATTCTCCTTTATGTGAGTAATCTGTCGAAGGTAGGCAGTCCTTTCTGGTTTCCAGTGAAGCAACCTTGATGTGTTGGGGTTGTAAGGGTTCGTGTTTGAGTCTCGGTGCCTCTGTGATGGTGAAAGGGGCGTGGTCTAAGCCTACAATTGAAAGATCTAAACCTTAATGTAGTGGTTTAGGATTTATATTGTAATATGCATTTTCATGGTTTGGTTGAATATTTTCGGATCCTGTTTTTAATAGTCTACACCCACGTTTGCTTTTATATATATACTGAAATGAGACTTACTAAATGCTTTTCTGTCTCTGTATCCCTTGTTATTTTGTTTTCTTTTAGGTTGTTGGGGACTGTAATGGCACGGTGTCTGGTGGCTTGTTTGAGGCACCCTTGAAACCATTGAAAAAGAAGTATCAGGTAATGATGCATTTTTTTTAGTATGTTACTACATACTATGTTACTCTTCCACTTAGATTAACAGTGAATGCAAAACTGGGAACAAATGATACCTTTGTTTTCTCAAATATGTCTGGCCATCCTCGTATATTTCGTCTCACAGGAATTGATGCTTCTTTCTCTGGCCATTTGCCTTTACAGGATTGCATTTAATTTTTTTAGACTGCAACTATTTCTATTCTTCCTTATTTTAATGAATCGATTTTTTTTTTTCATTTTTTCTGTCAAGTTAAAATGTGTACTTGTTTTAAAGGCTGTAGCCTATTCGTGCACGTTCTATATAGTAATGGAAAGTATAAAAAATGAGATTTTAGATTCTTAATGTACTTCCCAATGCTACCCAATCCTCACTATCAAACATGCCATAAGGGTGTCGGCAGCTTTTTTATATGCAATGCTCGTATGTCATTTTTGCAATGATTTTGAAGTTTTTCGACTTAATAAAACTGGAATTGTTAGAAACCTTTATTGCAGAATTCTCGTCCTCAGATGAAGTTGTTCCAGTGGTTTGTTATGACTTAATATATAGTTGGCTAATCAACTACATCAAAAATGAAAAGCGTGATGCATCAGTGCAACGTGTTAGAACTTCCGGCGTTGGAGGGGTTATGCATTTGGTCTTAATATATCTGGCCTATTCTTTTGTTTTCTTGGAAATTTTTCTTTTTGTAATGTCTAGTTGGAGTTCAGGTTAATAGATTCCAATATATTCTTTGTTTCTTATACTGAAACCTTCACATTCACAGGAATGAACTGCTATTTTACTTTGTGCTCTACGGATAATTTAGCCTTGGGCGGGGGTAATCATTTTGCACTTTATTTGCATGGAGATCTGTAAGTTTTCGAGTTCCTTTGTCGTTTTACTTTTTATAGAATTTACTCTAACATATATACTCCTATTTATCCAGTAGTTTATGGAAATGCCATTTACTTATTTCTCATCCCACCCCCTCTCAAGATTAAATGGATCGAGTTTGTGCGCCGAGACGAATGGAAGTCCCTGTTTGGCGCATGCTGAAGATTTGAAGTGAAGGAAATTAAGGTATTCATTGTTGAAGACAACTTAAATATATAATGCTTCTCCTATCAAAAAGTTTAAGTTTTTAGATAAGGCGGTTGAATATGGCACTGAAGCAACCAAACGATGTGAGTTCAAATCTTGCTGGAACTAATTTATGAAATTTTGCACGGTGTTCTATGCCTTTGATGAAAAAATTGAATCAAGTATTTAGGCACGTAAACTTTTAGATTGAGTGATAGTTCAATATTCATACTAATCCCTCTACGTACACCTCTTCTCTCACACGTGACATCATCACATTCTATAAAAGTGGTCTATTTATAGATGATCTTGGACTAAATTTTTTCTTAACTACGAAGATCAAGGTTGGTTACATATCTTGTGTTGTATGCAGCTATGGGGCTATGTATATGCTTCCAAATATGACGAGGTGGTCTCTTCATTGCAAACAGAAGTTCCAGGAATTAGCAGGCTTGCTTCCATCTGATGATTTCTAGTTTTGCATTCTCTGGTGAAACTATTTTGTACATTTCAACAAGGCGTTTTCTAAAGATTAACATCACTTGTACAGATGCAGACCACTTCATGTAAATAAATGGCGAGTTTTGGTTATGCCGTGATATTTATACTCTGGATGTTGAGCCCAGAGGCCTCATATGGGGCTGGCACTTTTCACACCTATATGCAAAAATGCCACAAACATCATGGATAGATCACACTTCATTAATCATTTTCTATCCTTGAGGATTAACGTTGCAGTTCAAACAAATTAAAAAGGCAGAATTTTGAATGGGAAGCCTCTTCAGGTCAAAGAAGACGATTAAACTCGAATTTGGTACATTAAATGAATCTCAATGATTATCACACCAATCTTGCTATATGTACAAAAGAATTATACAAATAGATTTACAACTAGTCAAGTGGCAAGCATTCTTGAATATCTTAGTTCTACTATCCCTGGAAATCCTTCCAAAGCCTGTAGGATAATTTTTATGAACTCTGTCATTTCACTGATTCGTAATAAATAATGAGCTAATGAATCCCCTTCTTTTTTGCCATCGAACCTCCCAATCAAGTTCATCGTAACACTCGTAATGATCAATTTTACTAAGGTCCCATTGTATTCCTGAAACTCGTAGCATTGGTCCAAATAAACCCCAATTTAGTATTTCTTCTCCAATAATGCCTATGCCCTCAACTCGTTCTAAAAAAATAGGATTCCGTGTAATAAGCTTTTGAAAGGACCAAAAACTATAGAGCACCACTTCCAAAATGAACTTAAATTTTCTCAATTATATGTACGCTATATGTTTTGAAAACTAGAAGTAACATTTAGCGGAAACGATATGATAATTCCAGTATCACAAATCCAACTCAAAGAAATCAATTTCTGCTTGGAAAATGCATACTTTTCAATTCATGCCGGGATAAATAAATGGTGCGATAGAAAATTATCAATCTATTGCGGGCAAGGAATACATAATTGGACATCACCACCAAAATATAAGCAACACATTGAATCGTAAAAAGACTAGACCTGATACTAATCAGACCCAAAGATGACAGACTACAAGGTCAAAACACCACCCTAACACCTAAGGCCTGAAAGCTGAGGCCAAGAGTTACCCAGGCACCTATGCCCAAGGTCGAGACTCGAGAGTACCGCCTGAAGTCAAAAGTGTTGCACAAGCATATAGTCCTGAGGCCAATATCACCGCCTGACCACCAAGCTCCGAGTTCAGATTGTTGCCCGAGCATCCAGGCCCAATGTTAAGAACGCCACTCGAACAACTGATCTGGTAACCTCTTACATGCTCCCAGAGTGACAGCCAACACACGAAGAGCCATCTCTTAGAATCATATCATTGTCTACTCACCCACGGTGCCCAGCTGGCTGCTCACTGACAACAGAATGTTAGAATTTATCCTCCATGGGGACAATATCTCCAAGCCCACAGCCTTAAAAAGGGGTTAGAAAGCTATTTTTATTCTTTTACCACATATTTCAGATACACCACCATTTTTCCTCGATAACTACTTGCTTGGATGTAGGAGATTCTCCCATGGAAAGTTTTGCCGGAGGAAATGTTATTATATGACCCAAGTTTACATATCATCAAGCTCGTTGCAGAATATTATCAGCAGCACTAATTACAGTTGCAAAATAAACACAATGGCTTCCATGGGCCTTTAGTGAATGCTTCTCGTGACCTATGAGCTCCATTCGATGTAAAACTCGACTCTATCATAGATCCATGTTAATATCTACCAAGATTGGAAGTAATAGATAAGGGTCAAAATTAAGACATGTCTTCCCAGCTGAGCTTATCAAGGTACGGGCATACTTCATTTCCAAAAGAATAATGAAAGGAAGAAATAGTGACCTTCACATGCATCAAACTAAACTCTCATGACTAAAAGCTCGAATTAAGTGGAGGCTCATATACTTCATGGACACAAAAGTTATTATTCGTCAGTGCCCTCCTCACATCTGTGATCCTTCTCGTACAATTCAGGGTGTATAGCATTCAGCAGCAGTGACCAATCTTGCCTACCAAAAAAGGCAAAGGAAATATTTATTTAATTATTCTATTAGATGTATTTGATAATAATACTTTAATATATATATATATATATATATATATATCATTAATAGAAACAACTCAATCGGCAATTTTAAGGAAACAAACAGGCATACATACTATTTGAAAGATAAGTACATGTAGGAAACCGAGGATGGAAAGAAGCCAAGAACGGAAATTGTAATTAGTTAGAGATTGTGTTTGGTAGGTAGGTATATTCATTTCCTAACTTACCAGATTATTTTTCCTTTCTCTTCTTCATCGTCTGTAGTTTAAATTGGATATGATAGGGGTGATCTTATTCATTGAGAAATACAGAACCGTAATTCTGATTTCGATTTCATGGTATCAGGGCCTAGGTTTCTATAACCTAGCAAATTAATGGCTGAATCTCCAACTAATAGCAGGGAGTCGACAAGCTCCGACACATCCCATTTCGAAACAGAAACCGGTCATTCAATCGGTCACAATGGACTCGAAAATTCTTCCTTCCAACTAATGGTGGAGATATTGAATGGGAAAAACTTTCGAGAATGGGCCTAATCCATAAAATTAATAACGAGGGAAAAGGAAAGCTGGGCTACTTGACCAGCAAAACCAAGAGGCCAAACGATGCTGTCCTGTCAATGAAGTGGAAGTCCGAAAATTCCATGGTGACTGCCTAGTTGGTGGACTCCATGAAGCCAGCAATTGGGAAGACTTATCTTTTTCTTCCTATCGCAAAGGACGTCTGAGACGCAATAAAAGAAACCTATTCCAATTCTGAAGATTCATCGCATATATTTGAGATTAAGATGCGATTATGGCAGACCCGACAAGAATCGAGAGGCGTGACAGATTATTACATGGAAATGGTGGCTCTTTGGCAAGAACTGGACCTTAGTGTTGAGGAGGAATGGAAGTGCCTGGACGATTGTACTCTATACAGGAAGAAGCGGGAGAATGAAAGGGTGTATGAATTCCTTGCCGGATTGAACCATGAGCTTGATGATGTCAGAGGTAGAATTTTGGGCCGTCGACCGCTGCCACCGACAAGAGAAGTGTTCGTAGAAGTTCGTCGTAAGGAAGCTCCAAGACTGGTAATGTTGAAGAAGATGCAGGGGTCGTCTGCAGAAGTGTTGGCCCTAAGCGTTAAAGATAGTGGGCTCCAAAATTTCAAAACAAATGGGCCTATGAACAGTAGGCCTAGAACCGATTTTTACAAATCAGGTCGGCTGGAGATTTCTTCAAGTAATAGACCATCAAGTGGGAATGAAGTAGTGGGCCTATTATCAAAAGGGGTTGCAAATGGGTTAACCCAAAAACAACGAGGACGACCTTGGTGTGATCATTGTCGCAGGCCATGACACAAAGAAGACATGTTGGGAAATTCATGGAAACCCACCAACTGGAACCAAAACAAAATACTAGGAGCCGTAGATACCAAGCTGAAACAACAAATTCGACCTCGAGCAGTGCATTCAACTTCGAACAAATGAAGCAACTCTACCAATTATTCTCTAGCCTTCAAATATCAAGTTAGCCAAAAGGTTCTTCTAGCTCTGTAGCCCATAAAGGTAACTTTCTAAGTGTCTTAAACACCTCGCAAAATAAAACCTCTTGGATTATTGACTTTGTGCATCCTATCACATGACAGACTCATATCACCTATTCTCGTCATATTCAACTTGTGCCGAAAATATTAAAGTGAAAATTGCAGATGGCTCACTCTCTTCCATTGCAGAAAAATGGAGTATTCGAATCTCTGAGTCCATAACACAAGAATCTATCCTCCACGTCACAAATTTATCTTGTAATTTGTTATCTATTAGTCAGCCAACCAAAAATTCCAATTGCTCCTCTAATTCCTTTCCATTTTATTGTGTCTTCCAAGATCTTTCATCGGAGAAAACGATTGGCAGTGTTAAAGAGTGCAAGGGGCTGTACTACTTTGAGGAAGCTAATATGAGTAAACTAGGTCAACTTATCGATTGTAATTCTACATCTGTCTCTATGGATAGTGAAATTTTGTTATGGCACTATAGAATGGATCATCCTAACCTTCAATACTTGAAACATGTACTTCCTTCACAGTTCTTGAATAAAATATCATTTGAACTTCAATGTGAGAGAGATGAATTTCTAAAACATCAGCATACATCTTTTTCATATTCCACATATAAACCATTTACACCATTCACTATAATTCACAATGATTTATGAGGACCTTTTCGCATCCCCAATCGTACCCAAACAAAATGGTACGTCACATTTATCGATGACTACACCTGGGTATGTAGGGTATATCTACTAAAGGAAAAAACTGAGGTCCGCTCAGTATTTATAAACTTTCACTCGATGATTCAAACCCAATTTCAAACAAAGGTCCAAATTCTGCGCACTGACAATGGCACATAATACTTCAATACCACTTTGCAAGACTACCTAAAAAAATATGGAATAGTCCACCAAAATTCACGTGTCAACACCCCCAACAGAATGGGATTGCTAAATGAAAAAATACACCTACTCAAGGTTGCTCATGCCTTCATGTTTACTACAAACATGCCAAAAACATTTTGGGGGATGCAATCTTAACAGCTACATATCTCATCAACCGTATGCCTAGTCATACCCTTTCTTTCGACTCCTATATACAAAGATTTCAAAAACACTTTCCTACTTCTCGTCTTAATTCAAATCTATCCCTAAAAGTATTTGGAAGTACTACATTTGTGCACATTCATCATCAGAACAAACTTGAACCACATGCAATCAAATATGTATTCATTGGATACTCACCCACTCAAAAAGGCTATAAATACTATGATCTGTCCACAAGAAGGGTCTTTTTAGCCTAGATGTCACATTTTTCGAAAAAATACCTTGCTTCCAAAAGCCTTCTCTTCAGATGGAGAATCTGAATAAAAATCGGTTCTTATATTGAGTATTCTTGGAATTTTATCTCTCCCCAACTGACCTAAATACAGAACCAATCCTACCTTCTAATGTACTATATATAGAAGCCAACTTGAATTAAGGGGGAGATGTTGAAAACAAACATAAAGAGTTTCTAGTTTACTCAAGGAAGCCTAAATCAAAGTATAAAGAAACCCTCACACCTGAGGTACCAAGAGAGTCAGAACCGGTGACAAGACCTGATGAGAACCCTTCCGATGAATTCACACCTCCAGAAAATGATCTACCCATTGCTCTCAGGAAACAAACCCGATCGCGTACTTTTCACCTTATTTCAAAAAATGTCTTATAATTCTCTATCTACGAGATTTCGTGCTTTTATAGCTAACCTTGATAAAACAGAAATTCCAAGAAATATTGAGGAGGCTCTGGGATCCCCTGAATGAAAAGATGTAGTAATGGAGGAAATAAGAGTTTTAAAAAAAAATGAAACATGGGAAGTGCTAAACTTAGCGAAAGGAAAAAGACTTGTAGGCTGAAAATGGGTCTTCAATGTGAAGTATAAGTTCGATGAGACAATAGAACGCTATAAAGCTCATCTAGTTGCCAAAGGGTATACGCAAACATATGGCATCGACTACACAAAAACATTCACACCAGTGGCAAAATTAAATACAGTAAGAGTTCTCTTATCCTAAGCTGTTAATCGCTCCTTTAACAGCTAGACATTAAGAACGCATTTTTGAATGGAGAACTGAAAGAAGACGTCTACATGACCATACCAGCAGGCTTCAACAAGAGAAATAAGGAAAATCAAGGGTGTAAACTCAGAAAGTCTTTATATGGCCTTAAACAATCAACAAGAGCGTTGTTCGATAGATTTACAAAAGTGTTGAAAATTTAAAGATATCAGACTTTCCAACCATCTAGAGACGGAACAATGACTGTCCTAATTGTATATGTTGATATAATTCTCACCGAGGACAATATAGTTGCGATGGAAAGACTGAAGAAGTGCTTGGCCACCAAATTTGAAGAAAAAGATTTGGGACAAATGCGATATTTTTTGGGAATGGAGATTGCAAAATCAAAGAAGGGTATCAGTTTATCTCAACAAAAATACATTCTTGATCTTTTGATTAAAATTAGCATGCTAGGATGCAAACCAAGTGATACACCTATTGAAGCAGGAAAGATAAAAAAGAACACGGAGAACTCAGTGGGAATTGACAGATACCAAAGACTAGTTGGTAAGCTAATATATCTCTCACACACTAGCTCTGACATCACTTTCACGATCAGCTTGGTAAGTCAACATATACATTCTCCCAAAGAGACTCACCTGGAAGCAGTATACAACATCCTCAGATATCTAAAAGGTAAAGCTAGGAAAGGATTACTCTTCGAAAGGAATACAAAGAAGGGAATAGAAGTGCTTACGGATTCAGACTGGGGGCTAGATCAATCAAAGATAGAAGATCCAATATAGGCTACTCCACTGTACCTTTGTGTGGGGAAACTTGTTAACTTGGAAAAGCAAGAAGCAGAATGTAGTGACAAGAAGTAGTGTTGAAGCTGAATTCCAGGTTGTTGCTCAAGGGATATGTGAAGGATTGTAGATAAAGAAACTCATGGAAGAACTAAAAGTTAAAGTAGAATTTCCAATCAAGCTTTATTGTGACAAAAAAACAGCCATCAACATTTCTTTCAGCCCAGTACAACATGACAGAACTAAATATGTAGAAGTGGGAAGACATTTTATCGAAGAGAAGGTGGAAGAGGGGATTATATGTATGACATATATTCATAACAAAGGAACGAACTGCAAATATTTTCACCAAAGGATTGTCTCGACAAACTTTCAATGACCTCAACTGCAAGTTGAACATGATCAATATATACAATTCAACTTGAGGAGTGTAGGAAACCAAGAATGGAAAGAAATCGAGAATGGAAATTGTATTTAGTTAGAGATTGTGTTTGGTAGGTAGGTTTATTTATTTCCTAACTTAGCAGATTATTTTTCCTTTGTCTTCTTCATCTTGTGTAGTATAAATTGGATGTAATAGGGGTGATATTATTCATTGAGAAATACAGAACCGTAATTCTGATTTCGTTTCAGCACAAAATCAGAAAGATGACAAAATGAGCATAAAACAGCAGCAGTTTACCAACTGGTTTGCAATGGCTGAGGCTTAGGTCCAGGCGACACCAGAAATACAGATTTGCAGGACCAAGCCAGAACTTCGTGCAAGCAGCAACTAAAGGAGTTCATGCTTAAATGTCCACCTCTTCCCTGTCATTACACAAAACAGAAACAAATAATATTAGTTTAAATTAGTACATAGTAATCTATCGAACAAAATATTAGCCATAACCTGAAAACTAGGCAGCTACATATAACAGAAAATAGAGTAGTCTATTTTGCACAAATGGTGCTAAATAATTAGTCTAGGTGACAATTAAGTGACATGAATTGATAAGACACTTTAAATGGGACCCATAATACTACATTTAAAATATCCTATCAATTAATGACACTTAAGGCTGGCACCAGCTGTGGCACATACCATTATTCCAGAAAAATAAATCAAATTCATTTTCACGATATTAATTTGCCCACACAGCTTCAAGCCACATAAGCAGCAGCAAAAGATACCTGATTAGTCATTTTAGGTTTTCATTTGTAAATAAACGCGTTTGATAGTCAAAACCCCCATCCCCCCACCCCACAGTGTAGACCCTAATGCTAAACACTAGTCCAGTTGGCAATTATGTGGCATCAATTAATAAGACAGTATAAATGAAACTAGAATTTCTACATTTAAAATGTCAAATAAAGACATGTGGATGGCACCAGTTGTGTTACATATCATTATTCCACAATATAAATCATTTATTCACGATACTAATTTGCCCAAGCAACTTCAATCCATGCAAGCACCTCACATTTTCATAAATTTTGACAACCCCATCTAATGAACATGTGAGATATTCAGAACTTTGGTATTAAACACTAGTCTAGGTGACAATTAAATGTTATTAATTGATACAAGTTTTCTACATTTAAAATGTCCCATCAATTAATGATAATTAAGGTTGGTTTCCACCCCATTGGTGCTAAGCAGCGTTATTCTTATTAAACAAATCAAAATCATTTTTCACATATTAATTTGCCCAAGCCATGAAAGCACCAGCAAAGATAAAGAATTTGTCATTCAATTTTTCATAAATTTTGGAAACTCGAGTGAATGAACGTGTGAGATAGTCATATTCAAGTCATTAGCATGGTTAATACTACTTTTTGATGCTTACATCTCGAATCCGGCCTCACATGAACCTATCATAAAACGAGTCAATCCCCACACCTTAGATGTTATTTGTGAGGCTCGTGCCTCATACTGAGCCTAAAAGCAACTAAACTATTCACATGTTTGCCTTGCATTTTTCAAACATTTAGCCCTTGTTTGATTTTTATGAGAAGTGATTTCGTGAAAAGTAATTCTTTTGGAGAATACGTGGTTAAATTTTAGAAAACAATAGATTTATATGTAAAATTATTATATTGGAAGAATATATAATTGAAAAGAAACATGAGTTTTGAGGAAAAGTGAATTTGAAAAATGAAAATAAAACAATGGCTTAATTATTGACCTTAGCATTTTGAGTAATTTCTTTATGAGAAATTCTACTAAACACCGTTGTTTTGCTTATGTTAAAGCATAATTGGCATGGCACATCAATTAATTTGTGGATCATTTAACTCCTAGGACCTACCACGAAGTTATTTGCCAATTCTTGACACAATACTGTTGCACGGTACTTAGTAGATCATTTTTCATTTCTTTATAACCTAAATATTTTACGTGTTCTTTTATAATGTCAGCCTACATGGAAGTAAAATGGGAAGGGCAATACCTCGTTACAATTGGAAGACCGTGATAGGATGAAAAGACAATGGTGTCGATGATTCCCTTACAGATCATATTACGCCTCTGTTTGATATCCATTTTAATGTATTTTTGGGGAAAATGCATCTTAGAATAGTGATTTTTTTTTTTAAGAATGTATGGTTAAAGAAGAAGGAAAAAATTTCAATTTACGAGTAATACTATTTTAGAGGAAAGAGAAAAATGTATTAAAATTATAAAAAAGCTCAAACTTACATAATAAAGTTTCTAGTTGTCACCACTTTTAATTATGGATTATAATTTTGTTACATGATTACAATTTGAAAACTTATTATTTTCTATTTTCATGATCAATTTCATGTTTGTTTGTAAGACTTAGTTTTGTTAATTACCCTTTTAGGATTACACCTCAAAGCGCCTAGACGCTTATGCCTCGGCTCACAGATATAAAACGCCTCAATATCAAATCAAGCCTTTTTATTGAGAAACCTTCTACGTTCGAACCAATCCCTCAAACCGCCACTCACCTACTCCCACAAGTACTTTGTTGAAGGCCTCCATAATCATATAAATAAGCAACAAGAACAATAACCCAATCATGGAGAGTGTAAATAATATTTAGTTGAAGACTTCCAAGTTTAGAATATTTTTATTACAATCATCAAAAGTTGAAAACCTCCCTAGTAGTACTTATAGTTGAACTTCTGGTAAATAAGGAAAACTACTAAATTAACAAAAGGAGATAACTCGCATCTCAACACTAATTATAAATTATCTTCCTATATAATTACATAAACTTAGTGAGGGTCCATTCAAAACAGTTGTTGTGTGTAGAACTTTTGTCGATAAAAACTTTTATCAATATAGCTTTTCCAAAAAGAGTTGTTAATTGTTTAGTTGTCACTCCAAAAATTGCATTTGAAATCAATTTTTGTTCGGTAGCATAAATATAAAAGTATATGGTTTAGAAAATTATGGGATTAAGTGAAACTTTCAAATTAAATATAGCCCATGTTTGAGCAATTCTATAAAAATTCAATTTTCTCAATCTCATTTTCAATCACACATTTTTCAATAAAACAATTTTATACACAAACAAAAAAAATTTATCTACTTTTGACCACACATTCTCAAAAAAAAATCATATTACAAAATCTATTTTTTTCAAAAAAAGAAGCTCAAACAAACCCATAATTTTAACCCTAGACAATTCCATTCTTATTATAACAATAAATAATTAAACATGCCTCCATTACAGTGACGCAAAGCAACAATTTTCAAGAATAGTTAAACAAATAATGAAACATTAGCACTCAAGAAGTAATAGGGATGGAAAATGATCCCAGTGGCTCGAGCAATCAACTACTCGACTCAGAAAAACTCGAACAGCTCGGGGCTCAGTAGAACTGAGCTAAGGCTCGGGCCAAACTTGAAAATGGCCCGTGTCACAGGCTCGGCCCTGCTCTTTGCCAACCTTCAATTTTTTTTGTTTTATTAATACTTAATTTAAGACTTAAAATCAATAAAGTTTAACTTATATATAAATAGGCTTACATAATTAATATTCATAATTATGCTACAGCTATTAATACTTATAATTTATTATCATACTCATTAGTATTCCCATTATATCTTATTGATAGAAATTTTAAATTTTATTATATAGGATTTTATATAATATTATTTGTTATCTTGTGGCATTAAAGCCTAAAAGACATATTCTATTCCAATATTTTTAATTCTACAAATGAATATTAGGATATTTATACACCTGAAAATTATACTCTAATTCATATATTCTCGTACCTATATTAATATTTTTAATTGTATTTTAGTAAGAACTTGTTTGACTTCTTTATTCGAATATTTCAAGAATTTAAAAAAAAATTACAAAATTTGTGAGCCAGCTCAGCTCGGTGAAGCCGGAGTTAAGCATCTAAATTTCAACCAAGATTTGGCTCGATTGGGCTCTAGTATTTTTTTGACCAAGCTGCACAAGCTCATGGCCTCGACTCGTTGACAACCCTATGCAGCGATAAGGTTTGGATAAAATTTAAAAGGTACATTAAACCATTAAACATTAAAAAATCATGAAATATATAAACATTAATTGAAAGATAAAGACAAAATATAGACAATTAGACATTTAAAAAAATATATATTAGTCTATTCATGAAACTTTAATAAAAAGAATTATGCAACTAGAAGGATAAAACGAGAAAAAATTACAAACCTATGTATAATGGAGTAGTACAAATGAAAGTTACTTATACGGGAATTTTTTGTGCATTAAATTTTCTTCTTTTTTTTCTTTTTTTCTTTTTCATTTTTTTTTTTTTTTTGATATATTAATGTGTAGTATTAGTTTAGATACACTCAATATTTTATTAAAAAATTAAAAATAAATATAATGAAAAATTTATTTTAGCTTTCCCATCGAAGTGATTTAGCCTTGTTTGGCGGCCATTTATTGGAAAAACATTGTTTTGAATAGTATATTTTTGGAGAATGTATAATTAAAAAGAAGGAAAAAGTTTTGAGCTTACATGTAGAATATTTTGTTGTGTGAATATATGATTGAAAATGAGTATGTAAAAAAAAGTGTTTCGAAAGAATGGGAGACAAATGGGGGGCTTATTAGAGAAGCTCTAAATTTGAGTGTCTTGAAAAGAATTTTACAAAGTTGTTTTTGGTCAACGAGCACTTTCTTAACCATAACTATAGCCAAACAATTATGTTTTTAAGCAAAAGTGTGTTTGACCTTCAAGTAGAGCTTTTGGAATCCCAAAAAGACCCTCCCAAACACACACTAAGCATTCAGTATAATATCTATTAGGATCTCCATCATTCAACCACAGACTTTTCCACCTTGGAAAGCACTCTGAGAAGCAAGATTCACCAAGGGTTCAGAATCATAGTGGAAAAGACGAAAAAGCTAACCATTGATCCCAGTTATGCAAACTCTCCACTGGTTGTGAAACCTATTTATTTAGATAAATAAAGCGAAAAGAATTCAGGTTTTACAGATCATATGCATTCATGCCTAAACCTACATAAAATTCCATGCATGTTCTTAGCAGTACATCAGTGAACACTCCATCTAACCTACTATATTAATCGGTAAAATATAGTGATGGGACAGATATCTTCAGCATCCTGGGTGACTCCAATATGGCAATATCCAAGCATGAGGAAATAGAAGTTGAAACGGGTAAAAAGTTCCTCAATATTCTTAGATATATCTCTGCCCAAGACAGTTAAGACTTGTTAAAATTTACTGAAGCTCTCACATCTTCAGCACCATGGGTGACTCGTATAGGGCAATATCCAAGCATGACAAAAGAGAAGTTAAAACGGGTAAATTTCTAACGCCTCAATATTTTATGATACAACCATGCCCAACACAATTAAGCCTTGAGCTATATTTATCGGGAGATGAAGTGATTATTACTTCTAGACGTAACTAAGAATATATACTAACATAAATGCAATAACTTTAAATTAAACTAGCAGTAATTTTAAAGTTCACATTGCAATAACACAACATTTAAGCAAGTTCAGAAAATGGAAAACAAGAAAACTAGCCAAAACTAAAAATGCATAAATAACTTCACACGGTAAAGCTGTTGCTGAGTTCTAATAAATTGGTCTACCTTGAATTCATATTTTTTGGTGGAGAATATCCTTCACTGCACTATGATTCAAAGGAGCAAGCAACCTGTTGCATGTTTTTATCATCTTGGGTCACATCATATCAATGAAGTGGCCTTAGCCGGTTTACAACCATCCGCATGGGCAACCGAAAGAAGTTTACTCTTTGCCTCTGTAAGCAATTTGATAAGAAAATCACATTTCTCATCCGAGTCCACACCAAGCTGTTGAAGATCAAGCATCAGCGGACTCAACTTCCTGTGCCGTTTATTTTTATCATTGCCATCAACATTGTCGTACACCTCATTCAGAAGTTTATACCCATGCTTTATGTCCTTCCGCCATCTTTTTATAACATAACAAGAGGGAACATTGTTCACATTTTTCTTGATAAGCACAGATGTTGCATGCCTACAAAGAATTCCCTTGAACTCAAAGAGATGGCATATGCACTCCAATTTACCATCAGCTTCATCCAAGAATACCCCAAAAGTCACCTCTTTAGAAAACATTCCATCTTTCTCTAATATACTTTCTGTCACCTCAAATACTGAAGTAAGCCCTTCTGCCCTTACAAAAGAGGCATTGCAAAAGATCAATCCCCTTAATTCATCCTGAAATAGCTTGAAAATTTCATTAGTATAAATTTTCTGAAACTGCTTTTCAATAGGATGATTTGTTACTGTTGGAATGCAAGCGCTAAAAGAGGCAAAATCTGCATTGTTCTCTTTAATGATCTTACTTTTCATCGCATTGTCATAAAGCTCAATAAATTGCTTCACTGTGGTCTTTGATTGAACATGGTTATCAAAAAAGGCATTCATACGTTCTCTTCTTTGAGTTGTACATATTCCAGCCAAAAAAGTATTCTTCACATACACCGGAGCCCAATAATGACGATCATCATATAAAGACTTCAACCACTCATTATCATGTAAATTGTATTCATTAATCAAGTTTCTCCAGTTGTCCTCAAACTCATTACATTTGACAGAGTCATAAATGATATTCTTCAAAATCATCTTGATTGTTATATACTGGGCAATCTCTTTTAATTTTGTTGGAAACTTTTTCATGATATGCCAAAGACTTAGACAGTGCCGAGAATTTGGAAAAACTTCTCTAACTGCATCCTGGACAGCTCTACACTGATCCGTAATTACAGCCTTTGGAGAATGGCCCAACATACACGTCAACCATGATTTGAACAACCAGAGAAAACTACCAGTATCCTCGCTTGAAATTAAACCACAACCAAACAACACAGAATCGCCATGATGGTTCACACCAACAAACATAACGAGTGGCACGTCATAACCTTTTGTAAGATATGTGGTGTCAAAATAAATCACATCACCAAAAGACTCATATGCTGCCCTGCACCTTGCATCAGCCCAGAAAACATTTCTTATACGAGATTCCTCATCCCTCTCAATCCTAAAAAAGAAGTTTGAATTTCTAGCCTGCATTTGATAACAATATATCATTATGGCTTCCACGTCCTCCTTTCCAAGTCTCAACAGTCTTGCATTTGCAATATTACTTCTGCATTCCATTTCAACCACAGCTGAGTCATTTACTTCTAACTTTCTCTTGAGTTGAGGAGTGACCATCTTGCTGCTTCTAAATTCATGAGGCCGCCCTAGATTAAGCTCATGATTGTGATCGAGACATACACGAGTCACAACATACCGTCCATCATCATAAACTGCAATATTCATCCTGGCCTTACATTCAGTCTTACTAGGAGGCCTTGTGCGCGAGGAGTTCCTCCCAGCTGTCGGAGGGGGTGTCTTACCACTTCGAGCACAGGCAAGCGAAAAATACTTTTGCTTCCCATCATCTCCATTCTTGGTGCTAACTTTAGCTGTATTGAAGCCAACAGATTTTGCATACCTATTATAAAAATTACGCACTTCTTCATAGGACCGAAAAGCCATACCAACCTCGGGAATTTCCACTTCTTCTTTAGGTGATGTTTGTTCAAACCCTTGAATATTCATTTTTTCACCAGAGTCATTTTCATCATTGTCGGGTCTTCCATTATCATTTTTCAAAGCTGTGTCCTTGTCAAGATTCCCTTCCATTTTCTGTAAAAATCAAAGCCACAATAAGCATTAGAATAATAAAATGGTAAGTTTAAGGAAACAATAAATGCGCTAACCTAAGGAGACTGACCATATATGCAAATTAATTGCAATCTAAATGAAGAAAGAGTATAAAAAATTGAAACACGGTAAACGTTTATACATTTGTATGGAACTAGTAGTAAAACTTGCTAGTTTTGGAAGATTAAGAAGCAATATACCACTAAAACTGATTGAGCTGCAACAATTATATAAACTAAGAAAACAAGTAGCCTTCCTTTCTCTGCGCTGAAAAGAATGCTTTAGAGATTGGCAAAAAAAAGGTTGTCCTTCAGCACTTAAATCACATGCGATAAAAGCAAATTGACATTACTCATTAGCTTCAGCTTTCATATATATCTAAAAAGAAACATCAAGTTCATACAAAAAACTTACCAAAGTTTATGGCTTCTAATTTTATTTTTATTTTTATTTTTATTTTTATTTTTATTTTTTTTTTAACAGCCAAAAATAATTCCAAGTTCTGCATCTACCAGTGATCAGATGATTCACAAAACAATAAATCAAAACTAACGAAAAGAATAGCACTCTATACATTTTAGTCGAAGCAGATTACTTCAATAAACAAATCATATATGCCATGTTGAGCAATTAACTCGAGAATAATTATTAAAAAAAAAAAACTGACGATAAATTCAGAACCCACAAAAGAGTAACCCTCGATCTTGATAAAGGATTTTCAAATAAGTAAAGTAGTACAAAATGGAAGTCAAATTATTAGAGTCATTGCCAAAAATATAAAAACAGATCTACAGATGTCTAACATGATTATCTACAAGTTCTTGTGTGAGTGAATGTGCGTGCGTGCGTGCGTGCGTATAGAAGAGAGAAAGATGCTTACTGAGTGCGGCAGCAGTAGAAAATGGAGGTCTGAACTTTGAGAGAAGAAGGGAAGATGCCCTATTTATGATTTGGTGAAATGGTGATGGAAATGAGGAAAATGGAATTAAAATGGGTCAGACTGTACTAATCTCTATAACCAAACAGCAGTGAGTACTACATGCCACTACTTGGTAAGTAAGATTTTCACCCCAAAACTTTATTCATGTCTTCATGTTGAGGAGAAAAGTATGGAAACCTCAAATGTTTAGTTGCACCAAATTGGTAAAATGGTCTTTTAGCATCAATGGAAGGTCATCCTCGATTTCGAGATGGCAAATATGGGATTGTCAACATGACATCGTCGAACCATTTTTCAGCAACTAATCTTACAATAACTCGATTTTTACAATACAAGCATGGACTACCAAGTTTCGAAATTTGCAAGGTGCTTTTGAGCACTCGAATTAAGCAGTGTTACTTGCAAGCTCAATCAAACATGTCATGTATCATCATATATCACTAATTTAGAAGGCACCAAGCAACTCACATTAGGAGAAAGTTGTGCTTAAAATGTCGGAGCATGAACTAAGGCGTTATAATAAGGTATATAAGGCCACTTAGAAGAACTCATGACGATTGCCAAAAAAAAATGGTCAAGAGGGCACTAAAACGCTAAGCACAAACATACATTGAATATGTCGTTATCTAAAAGTATGACTTGCACTCCAATAAAAAGTCAACTACATTGAATTCTAGTAACGTGGCTAAAATTTACTTTTGTGTCACATGGGATATCGTTGATCACCAAATTTAATATGCATGACAATTCATCTCACCAAACTGCATGGTCATGACATTTTCTTTATATAAACAAGGGGTGTCACTAAGTCATAGTTTTCACTAATGTTCAAATTGCATAATTTTTCTACTAGATTACTAACCTAAGAATCACTTTATAATTGACTACTCTTCACCATTTCGATTGGCATGCTCTATGACATCATCTATATGCATATTGTTGCTAAATGAGTTTCACGTTAAAAACATAATGATTTAACATCTTTCATACAAAAAAGTTCGTCAAATATACGGTTATATTCTAATTAAGTAACTTCTTTTGTCGTTGTTAATCTATTTTTGACAAAAATGTCATATAGTTAATGAAACTAATGACGTAGCCAATAAAACTAATAATGAAGCTACTGAACTAATGATGGGATAATAATAAATGTGGGACCAGGGGGTTTGACCGCTTTTCACCAATTTTTACTGCCAAGCTCTATGACATCATTGAGCATCCTCCTATGTTGGGGGAATCCGTGCATCGATGGGAAATATGGGGGAAATCAATTGTGTAAATCATGCCACATGAAAGAATGTAAATCAAATTGTAACCTATAACGTACTTGTAGCAAAGTTGATACGCATATTGTTTTCAAGTGGATTTTATGTTAATAATATAATGATTGAATATCTTTCGTATAGAAATATTCGTCAAAATATATAATTATATTCTTGTTAAGTTACTTCTTTAGTCGGTGTTAATCTTTTTTGACAAAAATGTCATGTAGTTAATGAAACTGATGGTGTAACCAATGAACTAATAATGAAGTTATCGAACTAATGATGGTATTAATAATACTCGAGGGATTATCACTTATAGATATTTCAAGTAAATATATTTTATTCCGTATAAACAAGCGCACTAATCAATATCTCTTGGCAAAACTTGAAATGTTACCAAAACAAACAAAATCAAACCTATGTATATGACATTTCAAAAATAATTTGTGTTTATAATAGTCGACTCGTGATTGTTCTACCCTTCAAAAGTAATGTTTTGAAAAATGGATCGGACCAATCAATTCAACTGGAAAAATTAGGAATTGGAAAAAGTTTTAATTGGCTCATATATTGCAATTTAGGCCCAATTCAAAATTTCTCCCAAGTGCTACTCCTTTTAGAAGACACTCCTGCAGTCCTCCTCCAAAAGACTTTAAAAAATTTTCATATATGCCTATGAAATATAAAATATTTCAAAATATTCTAAAGAAGATATTTAATTATATAATATACTACATATCACCCAAAAAACACCATAATTACTATGGCTGAAACTTTCCCCATTTATATAGAGTTTGTAACTGAAATTTTGAATATACATAAATCATGCTCGCATTAAATTACACGGCAGTAATAATGAAAATTTGAAATTGAAAATTCGAGTCATATTTGAATCTTTCGTCCATTGGAATAATTCAAAAATCATCATCCCCAGTTATAACAATATCAATAAACCTCATTTCCTGGTTTGTAATCTTCAAATTTCGTGTTTTCTAGTTTATGATGTGAATTTAACTATCGATGAATATATTTTTTAAAAGGCACGTAAATTGAGAATCAAGGTGACTCGAACATCCAAAAATGTAGCTTCCATTTGTCCTCTATGTATAATTTATATTTCGAGTTTTAGCATTGTGGATTTTCTTTATTCTAGATTAATCAATTTCAAAAATTGATGTTTTATTCCATGGGTTTCACGTCTCTCATTACACAATTCAATTTTTATTTTTATCTTAAAATTCAGGAATGTGAATCCTGCATTTGGATATATAATTTGCTTGTTTGACCTCTTATATCTATAAATTTTTGTAACAATCTTATGACTTCGGATGATTTCTCCTTTTTATTGTAATTTCATGGAATTGTTTAAAAAAGTATGTGCACTTACACGTAATTGGTAATTTTGCTACTTCTTTATACATAGATTCATACCTAGCATTTCTCATTTTATAGATTGCTTCCTTAATTTCGCGCAAAGTTCATTTTGTTTCATAGACGAAGAATACATGATATGTTTTTTCACTAAATCGGATATATTTTCTGTTATGTTTGGCTGTAGATATGAAATCTGTAAGACGTGTTTATAATATGTGAGACAAATACTTTTGGACTTTTCGTGCCTACTTGTAACAAATATGTGGAGCTCATTGAGATGATATCCATTGAGTTGAAGATCGATAATAGGATGGCTATTTCAAAGATAGTATACAAAGTAGGTGGAAACAAGTCCCTTATATCATCGCAAATCCGCAAGAGAACAATGAATTTGGTCTTGATATAATTGGGAAAAAAAAGATTTTAATATGAGCAATGCTAATTTGTGGGATGCGATTTCTTTCTTTCTTTCTTTCTTTTTTAAGCTTTCCATTGATGCGATTCCAAATTCTACCTAAAGATGAAGATGATGAAATTTGGGGATTTTGACAATAAATGAGGGTGAATTAAAGAGGCTTGTTTGGTGAAAAGATATGCTACTTAAATTGATATTTATTTGGAGTTAAGTCGTTTGTGATAAATCAATTTTAATTTATATATTTTTGAAATAAAAAATGATGATATATAATGTTTGAATTTTTATTTAAAAGTATGAAATTTCCAAAAGGACTTTAATCCTCTGATGTAGGATAAAAATGTATCCAAATTTGCGATCAATTAATTTGATAATTTGTAATTGATAAATAAGTTGTGACATATAAGGATGTGTGATTTGTGACTAATAAGTTTATAATTGTTATTTACATTTTATGTATTTGTAATTGTGGCTTTATGTAATAATAAATTATTATTTGAGCTTATCTATTTAACTAATACTACTTGATTTTTGAAAGAATGTGTCAAAAAAGGTTGGTAGTTATGTAATTTTTCATAAAAGAGTTATTTTTAGTACAAAACGTCATTACCTTTCTATTTTTGCATTTTCATCCCTATTTACACATTTCATTACAAAACCATCATTTTTATCTATTTTCTCAATAAAAATCGGCGAAATAACGAATATACCCTCAAATAAGTCATAAATACATAATTAAAAATCATATATAACGAATATATATATATAAAGAACTAATTGCAATCATAATTCCAATTTTTAAAAAAAATTACAAATAAGTCATAAATACATAATTAAAAATCATATATAACGAATATATATATATAAAGAACTAATTGCAATCATAATTCCAATTTTTAAAAAAAATTACAAATAAGTCATAAATACATAATTAAAAATCAAAACTTCAAACACAAAAATCACTTCATCTTCTTCCATCTTCCCCCTCACCCCCCTCTCCCAAACCAATCCATTCCACCCCACTTTCACAATTTAACAATAATTGAGGTGTTTTGTGTAAATTACATAAATTATATTAATAATTCAAATCAAACACAAGGGCAAGAACAAAACACAAAATAACTCGGAATAAGGAGTTGAACGAAATAGATGTGTCCATTAGACTAAGGATCTCATTTCAAGCCTAGACACAACTGGCCCCAAACTAAAAATGACTCAAGGAAAAATGGCAATAACACAAAACGTCCAATATGATGCATTTCAAAGCTTGGAGAAACCCAAATATATTAGTAAATATGAAACTGCACCATTAGTGGATGCAGCTTCGTATATCCATGAGCAGTTAGCAAGGATTAGGGTTAGGTAAAACTCCTGAACAGGATCCAAATGAAATCGAACCCAACGGTTCTTTTCAAGTTAAACACCCAAATGGGTATAAGAATCGAGAACAAACAGGTACGATTCGATTCTAGATCAAGAACCGAATAATCGAATTTTCCTATTTTTTTTATGTTAAATAAATCAAATTATTTTAAATTTTTTTAAACAAATTAACTAATTAGATGATTGATTGATATTCCATCTCCCAAACCCAAACCTAGCTAGCTTGACCTAATCCAATCAATTTATAAATTCAATTTTTTGGCCCAATTGATGATTAAATCAAATAGCAGGTAAGTATTAGTAATACTTTAAAATATTTTATCTCTATAACTTCTAATTCAAGATTATTTTTTTTATGTTGACTTGAAGGTCGAAGCAAATGAATTATTGATATGGATTGACAATATTTTATTATTAGTATCTACTTTTTGATATTTGTATATGTTGGTAAATTAATTTTATTGGACAACTTGTTATTTATATGTTTTTAAATTGGACTTCGTTAATTTGTAAAAGCTATTATTGAATATGTCATTAGTTGTATTTATATAATGTTGTTGTAAATTTTTAAAATATAATTATGGTATGGAACCGAACAGAACTGAATC